TCATCCCTGACATGCATAACATATATTCATACTTTCATGCCATTTGTACTCAAACTCTGGTCTTTGGGTCTATGAAATTTGACTGTCAAGCCACCCAATCACCACAATCATGAGCATATTGTGCTTAAGCTTTCACTTTTGTTAAGTTTTTTTTAAAGAGGCAGGGACTCAGTTGTGTTTGTCTACAAATCAACCTGTCTTTCACAAAAATATATTGTGATCTACTAAAGAATGAGATGGCAAGCTAACATATTAAGATGGAGGAAGAACATGGCAACCAGGCTTGTTTAACAACAGCACTTTGTTAGTTAATGTTCTGCATCCGGTCAAAACGACTATTAATGGAGCTTGAGACACAAGGGCAACTGTTAGGCAATGGAAGATAAGACAAATAGAATTGTTGCCTGTTTTTCTATGAGGCCTGCACAAAACATATAACCCCAAGCTACAATCACAGCTCATGAGCTTTCTGACCCAAGCACAACTCCATTTCCTGTTGCAAGCAGATGGCAAGGTTTAATTCTCTCTCATAGGACTTTTGGAACCGGGGCAAAATCTAGCGATCGCTAATGGGAACCTGGTGGTACGCAAAGTTCAGGAAGGCCAAATAGCATGGCACTGGTCCTTACTCATGACGAGATATATTTTGACTGAAATATCCCTGGTATGTATATATATTATAATTATTCTGCATTAACGGCAAATATCAGCATTAAATGTCATTCATTTTGATTAAGGTGACCACACAACACTGTCCTCCATACTGTCTTGGAATGGCTACTTATGAGTAAAAAACAAATAGGTTAAAATATATGCACATACCCATTATATAAACAGAACTGTGAAAAATGTGTTAACAGCATATAGTACAAGACCATAAAAGTAATGTATTGACACACCATGTGTTAAAGACAAACTTTAGTTTAAATGAGATTGTCATTCCATGTGTGGGTTATCCCACATTCACAATGTAAACACATGGGTGATATATGGTAATGTTTTACAGATCCTGTTTCTCAAAATAACTCTGCTAAATCTTGTTTGTTTTTAAATCCCACACATCCTAATCTCTTTGTATAACAGAATTGGGCATGTGATACCATTCGAGGCTTTAACTATAGCACAGAGAAATAGGACCTACGCGAGCTCAAGGGAGACAGAGATATGCATCACTGCCTCTGCAGTGTAGTCAACATGAACGCCCCAACAAGCTAAAACACTCTCAGTATCTTGGTGGAAAACACCACCAGCGGCACTGCAGTGTTTTCCACAGCATTGGTACTGCACCAAAGTCAAGAGCTTCTCCTCCATATTCCAGTTCAGCTCAAATCCACCTCTTGTTGTGCCCCTCCTTTATATGACATTTAACACAGAAAACACAGGCACTCCACTGAACTAACTTGGGTAATTGTGACAGGTATCCATCCACGCAGTTCACTGTTAGTCTAACTATACAGGCACTTGCTGATAAATACAGATAGCCTGTCTGGGAATTTCGAAGCACTGTTCTTTAAATAGTCCTACAAAGCACACACATGTTCTTTGTGGGTTTAGTTCAAATAACCTAACCTATGCTTACCTTATAGACAGGCCACACATCCATTTTACTTTAGTGCTGGAACAGACCAGCAAATGGACAAGACATAGAGCTCATGAGTGGAATTTATGACGCTGGGCACACTTAACTGGAAAAGCAGGTAGGCTAGTATTGCTCGAGATCAATCGCCAAATAACTAGTGCAACTGTGACAAGCAACAATATGTAAACATCTCGGTGTTATATCACACTCTTCTGACAATGCAATGATAATTAGTGTCAATGGTATTACACGTGTTCCAAGGGGCTAATACTGAAAGTAACCAACACATTTGAGCCAAACATTACTGTAAAACTTACTTAAGATGGACAGTGTAAGTTAATAAATGTTTGCTTCCAAGAAAAGCCTAAAAAAACACATGCTAGTCTATTAGTATCCATGTATACATATTGTATCAATGTATGCACCACTAGTTGCTTGGTCAACACATTATAATCTTGTCCTAAAATGTAAACACTTAAAATGCCAGGCCTATCACATATGGCGACGTATTTAAAACAAGCGAGAACGTGTAGAAACAACTGAACAACTAACGTTACACCAAACTGAAAAACACACTTTTTAAACGACAATATCAGCACAACACAGCTACGCATACCCATAGAAAGCCTGCATTCAAAGAGAGCAGCACACTACAAACGTATGTCTATTTTCAGTCAACACAGAGTTATATAAATATATACGTAACATGTAGCACATAATAAATGTTAACAGTCCTAAGTAAATGAAGAAATTGCAAGTTGACCTTTGACGCACAAACATCAAGCAGAGTTTACCATGGGGGCAGCAAGTCAGTTTGTTGTTGTTAACGCGTGAGCTATGCAGGAACATCAAAATGAGACTTACCTCTGACTGAATTTCCACGGATTCAAATAGATTTTGAATCTTAATTGTTTAGTCAACGCCGCGATGTTTTCGCCCGATGCTGGATGGTCCCATTTGTCGCCGTCGGTTTAGTAAAGACTGGCCCGGAGACATCCGCATAAACTCACGACAACCATCGCAGCTCGAAAGCAGCTCACTGGAATCGAGGCTAGCGATAGCTTGATAACCATGTAGACAAACAAACAGACGTCCAACGAAAAAAAACGAAAATATCCACGAAAAGTCGTTTACAGCGTAGCTATTTCGTCGTCACCGCATACTACGAACCTTTAACACTCCACTCGTGCTCTGGTAGTCTTGCTTGGGTGAACGTAAACCATCAAAAGATCATGTTTTGTTTCGATTTAATCCTCTCCGCCAACCCATTCGAGCGGTTTTCAAGCGGCCTTTGACTTCACTGTATGGACGCTAGGGACAGAAACGCTGTGTGAATGAAACGAGCGATCTGATTGGCCACGGCGCAGTGGGCGGATCCCGTTTCCGCACTAGATGAAACTGACGCCATTTTGGCTCTACTTAGCATCCTGCTCTCGCTTCAAAACAACACAAGCAGGGCTCCAACGTGGCTGACCGCAGTCTGAGTCCACAGTTTCACACGAAAGAGCCCACACTCCATTATATAGTTGGAGACCAAGAGAAGGAAATGGAGTACAGAGCCATTTGGATGCACTCGTTTTCCACATTTCTAGGAACCTTGAACTGTGTTTTTCTCGATATGTGGTTTGTGTGTAATTAGATTTTTCACAGGCTTTCTCATATGCAAATGTTGGTACGCTTTTTAAGCATTTTGAAGCTGCAAACTAAGGCCCTCGCTCAAACAATACATTTCACAACAGTATCACTGTGATCAGTAGCCTATTTATTTTCGACATTGATGAACTGTAAAGGGGCAAGGGCCGAGTGACAAGTAACTTTACTCAAGGACTTTTAAGTACAATTTTGACTTTACTTGAGTATTAATAATGGTAATAATTATATTACGTAGGCCTATTACATTTTATTTATTTTACACTTTAAGTGAGCCTGCCTTTTTATATACAAAATAAGTGATATGGTGTAGTGCTAAACTACCCAGTTGTAAGCATCTAGCATTTTGTCCACATTGACGAATTTCAACATCGGAATAACCTAACATAATACATTTAGGATTTGAATATGCCGGTTGTATTGTTACTTTTTAGTATGTGATCTGAGTAATTATTCCGCCAAGGAATAGAAAGTATGTTTTGTTTTCAGATGTGGGTCAGACCCTGGTCTTTAACACGGCGTGCGGGTCAGAGTGGAGAACAGATGGCAAGAAAGCGGGGCGTGCTGGTGAACAAACATGACGCACCCATGGTCGAAATGAAACGCGAGGTAATGAAACAAAGGCTCCCATTGGCTCAAGGAAAAGTTCCATATTCTTATTGGTTTATGTAACATGTCATTTAAAATTACCTGTACACGTCGCTTCTTACGACATTGCTTTATCTCTCAAATAAAGACTCCACCAGCTGATTTCACATGAGAAAATCTATGTCTGAGGTGTTTTTCTTTAATATAAAACAGCAGATAATTGACCCTACTTGGCACTTGTTCCATGATCTCAAACTATGTGACCACTTGGATACGTTTCATTTCACAACTGACAGCATTTAGCAATGTGTGTATATGTATTATTTTAGCTAAAGAATGCTGAATCCAGAATTTACTAAATTGACTAATAGCGCCCTCTGCTGGAATATTGCTGTAGTGTCTACATACGTTTAGTACTTCATGGACTACCTGTTTTTAAAGGTTTCAGAGAATATTCTGAACTGAACATACAATAATTTGATGGGGAGAAATACAATTGTAATCACTAATCGCATTTCCTTCTATTTTCTTGACAGATAATAAAAAGGATATTTCTGTTTTGTTTGTTTTTATATTTATTTATTTTAGTTTACTCTCTTTTAAATATATATTTGGTATAGTTGTATAAAATATGTGTCCCACATCATTGTATGTTTGTGTTTTATGTGTATGTATGTGCTTGTGTGATTTGAAGAAGGGAGTTGTTACATTACATTTTTGGTCTGCTATGTTTTATGCGTGTTTTACTTTCTTAATAACATTAGACACGGATATCATTATCCAATAAAACATGGCATACAACACGAGACAAACCCTGGACCCAAGGTGGCTCTATATTGTGTACTAAATGCATAAACTCAAACTAAATAGGTAATATATCTTGGTTGCGTAGTCAGTATGCGTCCGCTTGTGGGGTATACATGCAGATTTAACATCGCTACATTGCACACAGTCAATATTATCTTGAAAAAAGTGGGTATAATTTTAAAACGGTAGAAATGTAGGTACAGTTAACCAACTAACTGAAATCTTACGTGAGACTGGAGTTGCACAAGCTCTGCGTAAAGGTCTGCGCAGCGGGAAGGTCCTTGAAGAACAACAAGAAAGGTTGGAGTTTAAAGTTCGAGGCAAACATTTTTGGAAAGGCTATAGTTATTAAAAATTCAGCACATATTAAACATAATCCTTACACAATTGGTACTTAGGTACAGCAAAAATAATCTCATTAACAGTAAATACATGTTTTTTATTTATTTATTTTCCGTGCACAGGAAGTCCGGAAAGGATGGTTGCAGTGTTGATATGGAGCTGACATCTTTGCTCGGCTGCACGGTTGGATAACCTAGCAAGCTAGCGCTAAACGGATTTAACAGAGGGTAAACAAATGTGTTGACTCACAAATTGAGCTTTATAGAAAACAAGAGGCTATGGCATTGAAATTGTTCAGATAATAAACAACTTCCAGGGATAAAAGACAGTATGTCGGCGTTGCTGTTGCTGTTGCAGCATCGTAGTGGTGTTTGTAGAAAATACAGTACAGGGTTATTGTGGACACTGTCAAGGCGAAACTCTCACCTACTATCACACAAGCCTTCATCCAGCAATAGTGTTCAAAATGTGCTGCTCAGGTGTGCTAATGTCAGAAAGGTACTTCTTTCAAAATCGAATCGGACACTTACAAGTGAACCACAGAAACTCATTCAGGTAAGTCAATATCACTTCTCAATATTTTTGCTTGTGTAACTGGTTGATGTGAATACAATGTGGAGAGACAGACCAATACGCTCATCAGATGTGATCGGAACAGGTAGCCCTTATTGAGAACCTTCACCTTGAATGTTCACTATGGAGAGAAATTAATACGATTCTGCATTCTTTGGCAGAATTTGGTGTTACCTTGGTTGGTGATTGGCTAATGGTTACAAGCCAAAAAAATCGTTATGACATCATAAAGTGGCCAAAATCTGATCAGCCCATTTTCAGACAGGTTTTTATATAAATGGATCAGGACAAAAAGTGAGCGAATCTTTTTTCCTGAAACTTTCAGAATCTCTTTACACAGAGGGGACACATTGTTTATGTATAAAAGACATGAAAAAGGGGATTTTGCATAATAGGTGACCTTTAATGAACTGAGAGTAATCTTTCTACTGTGCAAGTCTTTTAATTTCAATTTAGATTCATGTATGTTGCTTCTCCTCTGTTGTAATTTCAATGTATTGTGAAGAGGTTTTAATGTATGTGCAAAGTACATCTTTTAAACTTTCTCTATGGCCTTTTTGTTCTGATCATTTGGCACTTCATTGTTCCTACTACAGAGCCTCCTCCACAGACCCTTGGGTCCTGGCATGGTGGGACTTAGCAAAGAGTTAATCAGAAACAACCTGCTGAGGAACCCTGTTGGTTTGGTAAATCTATTAGGTAAACAATGAGTTTTGTGATTATGATATCATATTATTTTACCTTTTTTTCTTATAGCTATTGATGATGGAAAACATTTTGATTTCAGGGTCTATAAACTTCTTTAGTACATCTCAATCTAAACAAGAGAAAAATAAAGGCAGTGGACCAAAGGGAAAAACTCCAGTGGAAGATGAAGGTAAGTGATAAATGGCTATTACTGACACATGGCTGTTTAATAATTGAACATCATCTGTCTGTGATCTTTGAATCTGTCTTTAAACCTTTCAGAGGAGAAAAAGCGCAGAGACCAGGAACGCCAGATGTACAGGGACCGGCTGCGGACCCTCTTCATCATTGCGCTCGTCATGAGCTTGCTGAACTCCATCAATACCAGCGGTGGTAACATCTCTTGGAACGACTTTGTCCATGAGATGTTGGCCAAAGGAGAGGTGTCCCGTGTGCAGGTCTCTCCTGAGAGTGACATTGTAGAAATCTACCTTCATCCCGGAGCAGTTATTTTCGGAAAGCAGAGGCTAGCACTCATGTACAGAATGCAGGTTGCCAACATTGACAAATTTGAGGAGAAGCTGAGAGCTGCTGAAGAAGAGCTGAATATTGACGCTAAGGATAGGATACAGGTGTCCTACAAACGCACCGGATTCTTCCGCAAGTAAGAACATGACCTTTCTCACAATTTTTTGTGTTATAAATTGAGCAGTTCCATCTTTATCTATGCCATCTACAAACACAGTACAACTAGTTTCATAAAGAGCCAATAGGTTCTGACATTACAGTATGTGTCGTTACCAACTGTAATGTCTTCATAAGGTATTTCTAGTTTAACAGTAAACTGCTCAAATTTGCACGAAACTCACATTTAAAAAAAAAATCTTAAATAAGTAATCTTCTGTTTTTTCATCTCTCTTCTTTACAGTGCAGTCTATGCTCTAGGGATGGCTGCTATTGGCGTAGCTATTCTCTGGTATATCTTCCGACTAGCTGGCATTGGGGGCAGAGAAGGTGGCTTCAGTGCTTTTGTGAGTGAAACTAATGCTAGTGTACATATGGGGTTCTTTTTTGGTTCCACTGATTTTTGATTTTTTTTAACAAGTGTATTCATTTCATGTCACATTCGACTTAACAGAATCAACTGAAGATGGCCAAGTTCACCATTGTGGACGGCAAGTCAGGTAAAGGTGTGAGCTTCAAGGATGTGGCGGGGATGCACGAGGCTAAGATGGAAGTAAAGGAATTTGTCGACTACCTCAAGGTAACACACCCACAGTCATATACTTTGGTTTTACATTGTACTTTTACCATGTTTTTTAATGTTAGGCAGAAAATCACATATCAAACTTTGTTAGAATATCTACTACTTAAAGTGAGTTTTTTCACAAATAACTACAACAACTTTCATTTTAACTTACCACATTGGATTTGTCAGAATCCAGAACGATACCTTGTACTGGGAGCCAAGGTTCCCAAGGGTGCCTTGCTGCTGGGGCCCCCAGGTTGTGGAAAGACCCTCCTGGCCAAGGCTGTAGCCACCGAGGCCCAGGTCCCCTTTCTGGCTATGGCAGGCTCTGAGTTTGTGGAGGTCATTGGAGGTTTGTAAAGTCAGCATCAGCAAACATTATGGCATGGAGCAGGTCAACATAAAAATAATGCTGATATTCAATACAACAGTAGATAATGATAGTTATGATAATACTGTGATATAGATTAAATGTCTGTTCCTGTGTTTCAATGCAGGGTCATTCTGTAATGACACTTCTCTTGATGTGTTTAAGGATTGCCATCACATGACTAATGATTTGTTGTAGGTTTAAATATCCTCTCCAGAATTGTGTCAGTGATATCCAATTATTGGTAAAAAATGTGATTTAATTTGAGGGATCACTCCTCAGTATTTGTGTCAGAAGGTAATAGCTTGAACCAAATTAGATGCTATCGGTTTCTCCTCAGTTTTGAGTTTATAATTTTATGTTTGTCTGTAGGCCTGGGTGCTGCTAGGGTGAGGAGTCTGTTCAAGGAGGCTCGAGGCCGAGCGCCATGCATCGTCTACATCGATGAGATCGATGCTGTGGGAAAGAAGCGCTCCACCAACACGTCGGGTTTCTCCAATACTGAAGAGGAGCAGACTCTCAACCAGCTGCTGGTAGAGATGGATGGTGTGTATAAAACCTGGGATTTCAGAGAAGATTGTTGTCAACAGACGTGGACTTTTCTTACAGAACAATGGAACATTTCTTCCTTTTCTTTCAGGAATGGGAACAACAGACCACGTCATTGTCCTTGCTTCCACCAACAGAGCAGATGTCTTGGACAATGCTCTCATGAGACCCGGCAGACTGGACAGGCACATCTTTATAGATCTGCCCACACTGCAGGTAGTCTTAAGAATATACCTTATCAGTTTGAACATAAACACATTTCATGTTGTCACTATTTTAAAGTAAAGCATGACACCTTTTGGAGCTGCTTCCTGGTATGCTGTTAAGCTATCTCACATTATCAAGCAAACAAACATATGGACAGATAAACCGTGGTAATTGTGTAGGAGGTTAAGATCAGACTTTGTCAGTTAAATCTAATTTGTTACATATTTATTGTCATTTCTCAGGAGAGGAGGGAGGTCTTTGAGCAACATCTTAAGATCTTGAAGCTGACCCAGCCCCCGGAAACCTACTCTCTGCGTCTAGCTGAGCTCACCCCAGGCTTCAGTGGTAAACACATATTTACTGTTTTGTTTTTGTGTAAATCATAAATATCTGTGACCCTAACAAAGTAATGACCAGTCTCTATGAATAAAGCATGTGATCAACAAACATGAACCGTCACAACAAAACACTGGTGATGTTTACTGAACTGTCATTCCCATAATGGTGATCATATTGTTGTTTCCTACTCACTTTGTCTCTACAGGCGCAGACATTGCTAACATCTGTAACGAAGCCGCCCTGCATGCTGCCAGGGAAGGGCACAAGTCCATCGATACCTTTAACTTTGAGTATGCAGTGGAGAGAGTAATAGCAGGTACAATGATGCAAACACTGAATTATGGAAATACTTTAAAATAAATGTCACCTGCCACCTTTGGCTAAATCTGACAGTGTGTGTTTTCAGGGAGTGTAAAGAGGAATAAGATCCTGTCTAAAGAGGAGCAGAGGATTGTTGCCTTCCATGAGTCTGGACATGCTTTAGTGGGATGGCTTCTTGAGCACACAGAGGCAGTCATGAAGGTAATGCACGTCTGCTCCCTGATTTAGTGAAGACTTTTTGGGCCCTTTTCAAAATGTGAATTAATTGATGGCTTTATCTTTATAAACTGTGGAGCTTAAAGATTCTAAATTCAGGAGGAGCACTCTGGATCCAATTCTCTACCAAAGCTGTGTGTCTACAAATGTTTTACGTAGCCCAAATCTCTTGTAAATCAGTCATTGCCACACTTTATTAACACAAGTGGTTCTGAGAAATAAATTGATGTGTATTATCTCAAGGTTGAGAGGATGACTCTGGGCATCGTTTAGGATTTGTGGACTTAAAGTTCAGCACTAATTAACAATGTAGATTGTTATAGTTTGACTGGGAAAATGCAGGATTCTCCATCATTTCAGTTTTTCAACAACTCTCTGTTGAAATGACTATTTTTTATTTTATTTTATTTTTTAGGTGTCCATTGCTCCGCGTACTAATGCCGCCCTGGGATTCGCCCAGATCTTACCTCGTGACCAGTACCTGTTCACAAAGGAGCAGCTGTTTGAGCGGATGTGCATGGCTCTGGGAGGACGAGCTGCTGAGGCCATCAGCTTTAACAAAGTTACAACAGGTACTCTCCATCTATTGTATATCCACTGTGATCACAGCTTGCCACGACAATTAACACTCAATTCTGATTAGAAATTGTGGCCAAGTATCCAAAAGTAAACTGCTAAACATCCAAATATAAAGACTGTCCTATACTGTGCACTAACAGTGATTTAATTACCCTCGCTTTGTCCCCAGGAGCTCAGGATGACTTGCGTAAGGTGACCCGTGTGGCCTACTCTATGGTGAAGCAGTACGGCATGTGTGACAGCATTGGCCAGGTCTCATTCCCCGAGACAGAGCAGCAAAACGGCGTCGGACGCAGACCCTTCAGCCAGGGCCTGCAGCAGCAGATGGATCATGTGGGTTATACAATTTGATTATATCTCCGTTAGCCCACATTAGCACACACTCATACCCCTTTCACACCAAGGCTTTTCCCCTTCTAGCTCCGTGCTAGAGCTTTTCTGGTTCAGAACCGGTTCTTCGGTTTAGCGCCGGCTCTTTTCACACCGCTCAGAGCCCGACTGGTGCTGCCGCTGCTGCGTCATGACGTCACAGTTTACGTCGCTGAGTTTCTCCCAACGGAGCTCACCTTACAACAACAACGGGCCGGGGACTGCGTCGGGTCGATGATCGTGTTGCTTTTAATCATACGAAGCCAGATTAAACTAAATAACGACTTCTCCAACCTTATACTTTTCTCCAGAGTGCCGTGGTTCATTGTTTATTAATGTGTTTCAGCGGCATTTACCGACCGCTGCAGTGCTGACTGCTCTTCCACGGGAGTTTATTCTCCCGTTAGCTCCGGGTTAGCTCACACGGCTCTAAAGTATTCACTGTCTGACTGTCACACAAGCAGCTGGTACATATCCCCAGTTCCCCTTAAGTGAATGTGTGTCAGTCTGAATTGACGCTGTTTGGCATCACAACGCTGTTATGAAAGTTTCTCTGGTATGGTATAACATGGGTGATGTTAGCATAGCAACCGAAGCTAAACTGACTACTTGCTAAGCCGTTTTCTACAGGCACTTTTTACCGGCGTATTTTTCATTATGATTCTACTTGTGATAGTCGGACATGACAACCTGTGCAGCCCATGTATTGATTCCATCCGATAGCTGCTATAATAACAAACAAAACGTCTGCCTGCTCTCCACAATGATCAATAACAGCGAACGGATGGTCAAAGTAAGGTACAAATAAACAGAATCACACGAAGCCTGGTTAGTGTTGCCTGACTTTATAAAGCGTGTTTTTTTTTTTTACAAGTGTGTGGTTGCGTTCTAGTCACTTTGCTCAGCACTACTGCTGGTTACAACTTTGATTTGCCGTACTCGCCTTAACTGTTATCTCAGGTTAATCTCGCCCCCCTCCGACGTAAGCGTGACGTATGCGGTTCTTGCTTCTAGACGGACAACTTTTTGGTGCTCGAAACGAACCGGATTCCGGAGCTTAGAGGCTGCGGTGTGAACAGTAGGGAGTTCAAGTGGGGCCATCAGTTGTTTTGAAATAGGACTGCTTCTCATCTCCCTGTTCATTTTCCAAGGACAAAGTGAATGTTGCTCCATGCCATTATTTAATAAATCCATTTAACACCACTTGTTCTTCACAGGAGGCTAAGATGTTGATAGCGCGTGCTTACAGGCACACCGAGAAGATCCTACTGGACAACAGAGACAAGCTGGCACTGGTCAGTTTATCCCTTCTTTGATCATAAATGTTATTTCGATTGTAGCTTTTTTTATACCACTGAGCCTCGCCTGTATTACCTTTTGGTTTGTTTTAAGTTCTAAACTTGTTGGGGTTTTTCGTTCCAGTTGGCCAACGCGCTGATAGATCGAGAGGTGGTGAACTACGAGGACATTGAGGCGTTGCTGGGGCCACACCCCCATGGGCCCAAGAAGCTGATTGCCCCACAGAACTGGTTGCAGGCCGAGAGGGACAAACAAGACACGGGAGAGGACCAACCTCCCCCACCTCCCCGTAAAGACAGAGACGAGGACGCAAATCCACAGATGGCCTGATATTAAAGTGAATGTATCAGAATTGTTCAAATGCTGCATTTTGTGGGGTCACCAGGGGAATTGTATAAAACCTGGTATTGATTCCTTACTTTGAAGCTTTATATGCCTGAAAGGGAAATCATCAACGTTCCCATGCATATGTCGTGTTTCAAATACACTTGTTTTCTAGCTGACCCTAAAACACACCAAATACTTTTTTTTCTGTAATGTGTTTGCTGCACAGCCATATTAGGTCATCGAAGCACTCAAATCAGTTCTATTTAAATGTCTCTTACTAGCCTAAACTACGGATATTTTAGAAAAGCTCTCTGAATTGCAAAAATATACATACTGTATGTGCTACAGTTGGTTTTATGCATCTATACTGTTGCATATACAGGTTTGGATTAAAGTAATACTTGAGGATTTGTTATTTAAAATCTGCAAATTATAAAGCAACTGCTAGCTGTTTGTAACAGTAACATACTGTACTAATAAAAGTTGATCTTAGGTGTGATTTTGTCCGAGCTAACCCTTTGTACCGGTGTAATGATGAAACGACAAATAGGCTAAAGGTTTGTTGTGTTGAATATGCAGCTGATTTGACTTCACACATCTGTCCTTTTCTCACCATGATTAAATAGGTTGAAGGAAGTGTTTTTTTTATAATTCAAATCCTAGTTTTGGTTTGTTTTATGCGAGTGAGTATGGAGTCCAAAAGGATGGCGTTGTTAAATATGAAAATAAAGTGATGTAAATAATGTGTGTTGTTCTTTATGTTGTATTAAATGATCATGGAAACAGACAATTTACTTTTACACATTGTGTTATGTTGCAGCCTAATGCTTAATTTCGTCCTCATTAATCTTCACTAAATACCGGTGTAGTACAAACAAATACACATAATAACCCTGATACACTGTATATTATTGGATGTACATTAAACCTAAGTATGTACTTGAAGCACTATTGCCGGTGATAACAGCCTCGATTCGGCTTGGGGATGACGCGACAACACACCTGGATCTGAGGATTTTCTGCCAGTCTTCTCCGCAGATCTTTTCAGTCGCTGTCGGGTTGGAGGGTACAGTTGGTGGACAGTCATCATGTCTCTTTGTCTTAAGAGAAGCTTCCATCTGGCCACTTTGACATTAACCAAGATCGGTGGAGAGTTGCAGTCCTTCTGGAAGACTCTTATCTCCACACAGGGTCAACCATAGTAACCACCAGGTTCTTGGTAACATCTCTTACACATGGCCTTCTCCCCCAGTTGCTAAGTTTAGCTGGGTGGCAGTGTTTAAAACTTTTTACATTTAAAGGTGGGGTAGGTAAGTTTGAGAAACCGGCTCGAGATACACTTTTTGTTATATTCCATGGAATGCTCTTAACATCCCGATAGCAATGAATATCTTACTGTAAGTGCTTTGACAAAAAATCCATACAAAAATGTCATCTGTGGAAGCCGTAGTACTGTAAAAAGCACGACCAATCATTTTAGCCGGCCCGGCTAAAATAACTGGATGGCCTACCTGCCTGTCAGCCTTCCATCTGTGCACAAACTTATCTCGTGCCCTCATTGGTCATGTGCGCGTTCGTGTGTGTTGGAGGAGGGGCTCTGTAAGGAAGTGGCAGATTTTCTCCGGTTGTGTATTTTCAAATTCTAGCGATCTCGAGCCGGTTTCTCAAACTTACCTACCCCACCTTTAAGAATTATGGAGGGTCTTCAATGCAACAGAAACAAGTTCCTCAATAAAATGCTGTCTGAGCTCAACAAGCACATCCTTCAAACTCTTGTATTGGGTTTTGCTCCGATTTGCATTGTTAGCTGTGAGACTTTTTACAGACAGGTGTGCCTTTTTAAAATGATCTCAAATCAACTAAACTTACCACAGGCGGACTCGAGTCAGGTGTGGACACGCCTCAAAGAAGATCAAGAGAAATTAGAGGCACCTGAGCTAAATGTCAAGTGGAATAGCAAACAGTCTCAATAAGGTCAATATGATATTTTAGATTTTCTTTTTAATACATTTGCTAAAACTTTAAAAGCCAGTTTTTTCTTTTCCATTATGGGATATTGAGTAGATGGTGAGTTTATACAGTTGCATGTAAAGGGGATCTTATTTCATGATGAGCAAAGAGAAACAATACACACACTTAATAAAAGACTTACATTTATTCTGGAAACTCTAAATTCAATGAACATATACAGTAAAAAAAAAAAACATAATTCAAAATCTTCACCTCCGAACTATTTGATACTATATAATATATTGTGGTACAGTTTGTTTGGTTGAGTAAATGGTTTTTTCCAAAAAGGTTAACAGCTGGAATGGAGGATTTGTGATAAAAAAAAAAAAACTAAATGAAAATAAAATGATCACTTATATATAAAAAGAATACATAAAGGTTTGTTTTCTCAGGCTTGTTGCATTAATACCGAGAAATCCAAGTCTGAGGATGGACAAACCAGACATGGACAATCATTTATTACAGCACAGCTCCTTTCCTCTCGGCTGATCGTATCAGCTCTTGAGTTCACTGTCTCATTAACTTCTCCCAAGCTAAGTACAACATTTTTCCACAAGGCATTTTGTCAGTATTGTCCAAATGAACCATTTTAAACTAGGGCACTTAGAGATTAAAGTCCCAAGCCTTTACATAGCACTTATCTTTCTTTGGCACACTTCAAATCTTGTCCTTGACTAAAATCTTGCCAAATGGGTCCGAAAAAAAAAACCCTGAGCTCTGATCCCTAACTGGTGGTGAAGCACACATGTCCTTCTGTGAGGGGCTGTCCCTGTTAACGTGGGTCATACATGTTGGCCAGTTTCTTAAAGCGTGGTCCCCAGTCGTTGAGGTAGTCGTAGTCCTGATCTCCGTCAGAGCTGCCTGAAGCGATGGAGCTGAGGCTGCCTGCCAGGGAGCCCTCTCCCTCGTAGTCATAGATCAGGGCCGTGTCGTAGGGAGGCACATTCGGATCGTTGTCGGCAGCCTCCAGGCCCTGAGGGAGGAAAACATGTCGAATGGTTAGAAAAAACAAAATGATGAGTAAAAATATAAATAATTCTTAGTAAACAAACTCTCCTTAATAACATAAATGAATATCACATGTCCGACAATAAGTTATTAGAAGTATATACTGTATCTGCCCTCCATCATATACACAACCCACAGACAACTAGCTCAATGCTATTATGTACAACCTATCCACACAGTGTAAATGAGAGTAACATTCAAACAATTGCCCTGGTGTTCATCCCTTCACCTGTTTGGTACTTCTTCTTGAATTGATATTATGTTATATGATTGATGATATATTTGAGCCTCTACATCTACCATTCCACACATTCACCTCACAAATTGAAAAACACATACTCTTCAGAGGTACTTCTTAAATAATAACCCCTCTCTATGACCAAGAAAATGTATTGTACGTTATAAAAAAGTGACCTTTTTCTTACTTTATAGATTATTTGTTCAGAACCATTGGCAGAAGCTCTGTCAATAGTTAATACCTGTTTTGTATTTTTGAATTTGAGTTACTACAAAGGCTTTGCCCTTTTAATAATGATCCCAATTTGGGAAATCTAACTTCTAATTGTGGTCTGGGTCTTCATAATTCCTTGTTTATATGACGTTTAGGTAAAACAGGGTCCTGGTAGAAGCCTCTCACATCATTGATGTAGTCCTCGATGTCAGTGGGGTCTGCTGGCGGCCTCCGTGGGTAGATAGGTGAGGGCAGGTTATGTGGAGCGTCCTTCCTGAGGGGCTGCTTTCCTCGAGGAACAGCGGACCCTGGGTAGTAGGACCCCGGGGTCGAAGGGGCCTCAAGTGGATTCCACAGCATGTCGATGTTAAAGGCATTCTGCAAAGGTAAAAAATAAGCTTGACTGCATGTACTTTATGAATACAGTGATGACATGCATGCAGTATACCACAAGATCGTTGAGATTCTCTTTACTTGTGAGTTGTGCAGTCTTACCTCGTCTTCCTCCCCCCCTCCTTGCTCATCATAGTTGAAGACATTGTCACGGATGTCGTCTTCTGATTCCCCGACAAGCAGACCTGTCCCTTTCTTGATATGGTGACGTCTCCCACAGGAAGTCACCGCCACAGTCAGCAGCAGCAGCACTACGAGCAGACACATGCACACAATGAAGGGTTAATAACGGTTTATCAAGACTACATCCATTTTATTTTTTGGTCAAAAAAACAAGAGAACATTCTGAAAACTGTCCATCCCACTCTCTAAACGTCCAAAGTCACATCTATAAGTGTCTGACAAATAATATCAATAAAAACCCAAAAATGTTTACTTTAAACTGAAAAGCTAAATATAAAGTATCCAAAATGTCCACATTAGGCCGGTTTGAGAATATTAAATCTATGTCATTCATGTTTCATAAATGACTTAAACTTTTGATTGTTAAATAAAATAGTATCAGATTATTTTTCTGTCATTTAGTGATTTGATTTGCCTTAACTAGGCACTCGAATTGACTTGAAATAGCCTGCGACTAAATCCCTTCTGACTTGGTTTGGACTTTTACTAAATTACTTGAGTCAATGTCTGGTCTATCAAACTGGAGATGGCGGTAGATGTTTGTGATCATTTGTATTTTAAACTCCAAAAAAAGCACATCTTAATGAGTAATTTAAACAAAAATTCACTTGATTAGGATCATGTTTGATTTGTTGCAAAAATGTTTTCTACAGGATGACTCATGATGAGACTTACACAGGAGGAGTGCAATACTGGCCATGATGATGATCAGAGCGATGAAGTTGATTCCCACACTGGATCCAACGAAAGCCCCCGCCTCCGACTTACAATCTCCAAAGGAGTCACAGCGACACACGGTCACATTGACCTGAGAATACGCGCTCAGCACTGGGCTGCCAGAGTCCGACACAAACACTGTGACCACGTACTCTCCTGCCTCCAGGTCCACGAGGGGCTGAAGCACCGCATGGGTATCTGCAGAGGAGAGGAGGAAGATGTGAGGTTAGAAGATTCATGGGCAGAGATGGCAAAAGTACACACATCCTTTACTAAAGTAGAAGTACAGATACTCGTGTTTAAAAATACTCTGGTAAAAGTAGAAGTACTGACTAAACTTCTTTACTCAAATAAAAGTAAAGAAGTATGGGTTTCTAAATGTACTTAATTAAAAAGTACCAACTACCAACTGTTTTATAGAGTAACTGACCTCACTTTATATTAATAGACCAATAATGTCATTGTTAGCTAAGGAATGTTTCGATGCTGAACAATGGCAAAATGACAAAGTTTTCATTGGGCCCTCTTCTTTAGAGAAGACCAAGAAATGATGGATACACGGATCGTGTTAAATTCAATAGGCACGCAATGACTCTAAATAATAATGATCATGGCACCAACACAGATTAAAACGTAAGTAACAAACCTGTTTTGAAAATGTAAGAAGTAGAAAGTACAGGTATTTGTGTCAAAAATGTAAGAAGTAAAAGTAAAAGGTCGTCAGAAATATAAGTAGTGGAGTAAAGTACTGATACCAGAACAATTTACTGAAGTACAGTAACGAAGTATTTGTACTCCACTACTTCCCACCTCTGTTCATGGGTACACCTGTCTTCCCCACCTCTAAAGCTCTCTCCTTACCGTTGACTTGAACAACAGTCCAGTTGATTGACAGATCATCGTCGGGCATCTCAAAGCTGAAGGGTGCAGCGTGTGGAGGAAAGTCTTCATCCACAGCCGTCACAACCAGACCAGAACTGCCGCGGCCCGTGTCCCTGCACACAGAGCCGCTCAGAGGGAAGAGCTGGGGGGGGAAGTCGTTGGTCTCCTTCAGTGTGATGGCCACGGTGGCAGTGGTTGACACACCACCAGCATCTACACAGGAGACCAGAAACACACAGCCATGTCACATAAAGTTACAACAGCTTATATAAAAATAATTCTCACAAAACCTGTCTATGAACTTGTATTTATTTTATTAAGAAGATTAAAGTATGTTGTTTTCCATGCATTGGTCAATGTTGAGAGATTATTTTTGCTGCTATACAGAGGTGGGAGAAGTACTCAGATCTTGAACTTGAGTAAAAGTAGTTGTACCAGAGTGTAGGAATTCAGAATAATATTTATTATATGTTTTGATTATAATTATTGATGCATTAAAGTGTTATCAAAGTTAGTTTGAATGACTTTGTTTACTGCAGGGTAGATTGTGAATTTACTCCAGGTGTAACTAAAGTCTGATTTATTTATATTTCACATCATTAATCCAAATCTGTAAAGTAACTTAAAGTATTAAATAAATAACTAGTGGAGTAGAAGTACAAATTAGCATAAATTGGAAATACTCAAGTAAAATATAAGTACAATTGGACCTAAGTACAGTACTTCAGTAAATGTACTTAGTTACTTCCCACCTCTGCTGCTATAACATGTATTCTTTCAGACACGTGGAAAGAAAATATCTGTTAACATCTTAAGAAATATCTCTCTTTCAAATTCCCCTTTCAATATCCCTTAATGCATCATTTGCATATTTGAACACAAACATTTCAAAAACCAGTTTTACAATAAAATGTTGGCTTAATGCTAGTAATTAACTGGAAAAGTTTCATGATCCCATCTGTAGTGCCAACACCAAACATAATGTTTAAAGGCCATTTTCTCAAATGTTTTATTTTTTCTCTAAGCATTAAATGTCTTCAGTAGCACTTACATACACAATACTTTCCAGTTTATTTCCCATCTAAATTAAAAAGGTTTGTACAGATGGCCTTGTTCATACATCCTCATTTGCATAAACATACCATTTCAGCTAAATGGTAATATGTGTAAACAATATTCCTAATAAAAGTTTTTGGGTGATATCTATTAGCCAACATTTGTATCGGTTGTGTGGATGCACTGACCTGTAACTTTGACAATAACATTGTAGATATTGTTTTTAACATTTGGAGATCGCATGTTGAACGTTCTCTTGGCATAGATTTCGCCTGTATCTCTGTCGATGTCCAGCCACTTCTCAGGATCTCGACTAATCTCATACCTGAAACAGAGAGCAGAGCAAAAGTTACAGAAAAAACAAACTGTCCAATTAGTTAACTCACATTCTTAAAAACAAACAAATGCTCCTCTTGCTCTGTGGCTGCATCGTACCTCAGGTCAGAATTATCAGGGTCCGAGGCGATATGGCTGGTCAGTAAAGTCCCAGGGACCACAGACTCAGGGACAACCAGCTGTATGGGGTCCTCCCTGAAACGTGGAGCTTCGTTCTCGTTCACCACCGTTACAAACACTGAAGCGCCGCTCACTGGGACGCTGGGAGCCTTGATGCTCAGAGGATTGACATTTTCCACCTTCAGCAATAAGACGTGCTCATGCTGTGCTTCATAATCCAGAGGCTGCAGGATAATAATAAAAAACAACGCAGAGAGGCTGTTACAGGGAGGAACACTTGCACTGCCTGGTGGTTGCATAATAACGAATGCATGACAAATCTATATGGATGACAAAGGCTCACATTTGATTAATTAAGAGACATTCATACATATAAGAAAAGTTAAGTACTTGTAATCTAAACTTCAGCCACTAGAGAGTGGTGTTGAGTTGTGTCTGAGGGCCTTAATGCACGTTTGACTTTAAAGGGCAAAGCTACTCAACTATTCCTGTACCGAAGAGAAAAAGGTTTTTGTTGATAGAATATAGAAAAATGTATGGGTAACAGTTACTGGGATGTAAAGGCATGTCTGATGTTGTGTGAATGGTGTTCTTTTAAATCAGTAACTTAACACTCTTGGAGCACAGAAATAACTTGTCACCTAAAGATCTTGTTACACTTAGCAATGTTTATATTTTTGTCAAAAGGTTCACATGCTCTCCTTTGTGGTTTGAATACAATTTTACATTTACTGCCATGTGTTGGTTATGGGTCTCTCTATTTCTAGTGATTTCCTAATAAATTCATAGTAATGTTTTAGAATCAGAATCAGAATACCTTTTATCCCATTTACAAAATAAATGAAACACTTTTAGAAAGGGCATGCACATAATATGTAAAATTCGTAATACATTTCCAATGTACATATTGCACAAAGCAAGACCCATGTCCTTTGACAGTAACTGTAGGTAAATGATAGGTTTACTTACAAACCCATGAAAGCATGAATCTAACCTGATTGGTGTCACAATTATGCATGGTTATTTACTGAGCCCTTTAAAATAGCTTCTATTGTGTATGGTCTTTTAAAACAAATGTATTTTAATAAGTCCTGTGATAATATGATGTGTTTTAAAGTACACATTTTTTCCTTTTTTCCTTCATTGATGTTGTTTTTACGATAGACTTGAAACTACTTATAACGATTATTTTACTGCAGGGTAAAACCTGGAATTGTATGGGTTAGGAACAAACCTGGTAGAAATAATTTGTTCATCCACATACATTCGTCAATTGGACTTTTCTTGCTTGAAAAATGTGGCCGAAGCCCCCCCCAACCCTCACACTCTTTCAGTCAACAGCAGATCAGCACATTGTACCTTCACCACGGTCAGAACTCCTTCGTTGGTTGCAGGATCCGTAGTGATGGCAAAGTTGCCTTCAGGGTCGTTGGAAATAAAGTACTTGGCCTCCCAGTTTGCTGTTCCACGATCATCTCTGTCTGTCACGTTCACCCGGCCGATCTCATTGTCCTTCCTGTTCTCCACTGCTAGCATGCTGTACTACATGGACCACACACAAAGCACAGACCAAAAGATTCAATATCTAACAATTTGACAGAAGTTTTTTCTAAATAACGATTGAAAATATCCCTTATGTAAAGTTGAATGAGACTCACAGTGGCAGGGCTGAACTGTGGGGCGTGGTTGTTGATATCAGTGACATGTATGATCGCCACACTTTCACTCGTTAATCCCATGCCTCCCATATCAGCAACCTGCAGTTTCAACCTGAAACTTTTTACCACCTAGAACAGGATACGGCACATTAGTCAAATCAACTATACTAAATTGATCTGCAAAAAAATGCATATTGATTTTCATTTTACCTCCAGGTCCAGGCCTACGTCTCTTGTGTAAATGGCTCCTGTCTCGTTGTTGATACCAAACATTGTCTTGTCTAAAGTGTTGGCAGGAAAGCTCTCCTGGCCAATGATAGAGTAGCTCAGGTAAGCGTTTTCTGTCATAGGGTCATCTTTATCAGTGGCGGTCACTGACATCACCAAGGTGCCTGTCAGAAATAATCAAAAGCTTTGATCAGCTGGGAAGATCAGTTGGTATGAATTATGTATTTTTGTATATATTTTAAGCAGTATGTGATACCCAGTATGTAATACATGGACGTACCTGGGACGGAGAATTCAGGGACAGTGCCGCTGAATTCTTTCTGTGTGAAGGCGGGTCTGTTGTCGTTCTGATCCAGCACCACGATCTCTATGGTGGACGGATTCTCTAGCCTCTCTCCACTGGGAGACAGTGCAAAGGCTTTCAGCTGCACAGACACACAAATACAACACACACATGTTAGAGTTCATAAACAAATATTCAGTTGTTATCATTATTATTATTATCTTTTTTGTTTTCTTTCCCTCCTCTTTGATGTTTCTCATTGTAATGAGGCCACACCTCAGGCCATTATGATTATAATTTATCATTCTTAATAATTTTCTCTCTGTGCTTTTATTTAAGGAATTGGTATGTAAGCTGAGATATATATAGATATCTTGCTACATGATTAAGGTGAGATTATTGTCACCCATGGAGAGATCTATGCGGGTGTATGTTGTATGTTGATTGTGTATGTATATATGGGATATACATATTTGTATTTTTATATTCGGGATTGTGGGAAACGATATTTCGATCTCTCTGTCTGTACACACAAACTGAAAGATTGACAATAAAGTTGACTTTGACTTTGTATGTATGTTATGTCTGTATGTTTACAAAAATGACAATAAAAAGAGTATTAAAAAAAAGAAAAAATCTTTAGTTGGTTGTTTTTTTTACTATTCAAAACCAGAAAAACATCCAACACTTATGGTGACAGAGGGTATTTTTTGCACGGCATATGATGGAAATGGCAGAAAAAAATGTGCAGGATGTTTGGTTCAGCATCAGAGGTTACATCACAGTCATCTGGTCTCAAACACTCTGAAGTCTATCCCAAGATGCCCATAAAGGCCCTTGGAAACTGACCTCTGGCTGTTTATACTAGAGTTTGAGACACTGATATATGCTTTAAGACAAAAACATGGATCTAACATCAGAAACATATTGCCAGAGGTCTTGTTTTAGGCACTGTGGATTGTGTTAAGTACTTATTTCTGATAGTGCTTGGAAACACATTTCTGGGCGATTTAAAATGTTCCAGCAATAAATGCTCTCTCACCGTGAAGCTGTTGTAAGTCTCTCGGTCCAGCGGCCGCTTGCTCCTGATGACTCCTGTTATATCATCAATTTCAAACAGATCTTTGGGCTCCTGGTCCACCCCCGCTCCCTCTAGCTTGTAAATCACCTCCCCTGTAAAGATTTTGTCCGATTTGATCTAAACAGAGAAAGGAGATGAAGTTGGTGATCATCACAACCTCACAGGAAAGGGGGAGGGGGGGGGGGGACCATAAGTCGTAACACCAGATGTGAGCATGTTGATGAATAGGGACCTTGAGACAAGAGTTTTAAACTCACTGACTTATGGCAGGAAATGCTATTATGAACTAATAACAGCAAGGAGTCTATATGTTATGCATTTTGTTTTGCTTTTTCTTATGTCCGTACATATGTTCCATGCTGCATTTTCATCACCACATAGAGGCTCTACATTCCTCCTTGTACAGTAGGATTTATACACCTCCTGGTCCTCTGTGACAACCTAAAACAACATTTACATTTCACATCTTTTAAACACTTGGTCTGTGCTGAGTGGGATCATCTGTGATGAAGAATTACAATCCACAGTGTGTGACAGAACATTGCTGTGTTTAAATGCATTCAGTAGTATTGCTCTACACTACAGTATACAGACTAAGATACACAGACAGCCATCAGCTCATCAAAGCATATTCATGATGACACACAAATTAGCTTAGATGCCTGAAATAAGGTATGTGAGTAACACAGGTTTTAAAGTTTTGTTGGATATATGCTTTAAAAGCACAAGTGTTGTTCATTGTGATTTTCTGAACAAGTGCATTTTCTGCAGTGATCCATAATCCCACCAAAAAGATTTATTGGCTTTTTGTTGAGGGAACAAGGACAATGCTAACTTCGGGATTAGCAAAACAAAAGCAATATCTACAGCACTCTACTGACCATTAGCTAAACCCCTTCCCACAAAGCAATTTTACATTAAAGCTTAGCAACTGTAAAGATATACGTGGCAAATAAGCCGATGTTATGGGATGTAGTGAAAGGGAGAAATAATGAAATAAGAGTGGTGTAAGGACTTAATAATACGGGGTGTTCATCTGCTTTAGTGTAAACTGCTAAGTGTCTCAGCCCCTTCAAACAGCAACGTTTGAATGCAGCAAGCTAATCATGCTACATATGAGCATCTGATTATGTTTTTTGGACTTACTTAAGATTTGTGAACGTGTACGTTAAATACATGTTTTAACAGAATTGAAACAGCAGTTATACAGTGATATTCTGGTGTGAAAAACTATGATTTGTACCTGGACGAGGTCTTCAGGAACCTGCTTGCTATTCTCCAGCACTCTGATTGGAGGGATGATCCAGTCCCTCTTCACCCTGTACATGCCTGTGCCTTTATTTCTCCATGGGTAAAGGGTCTCTTGCTCTTTGTGATGAGCTTCTGCAGAGCTCCACACCTGAAGGAAGCAAGAACAGCATGAAAGTCACAACATAAATTCACATTCAGACATGGATATAAATGTATGTCAGCAAGTCAGATTACAATGAAGAATATTTTTTGATTCCAGTAATTCTTCTTGGCGGAAGACGAATTATGTCATGTTAGATATGTGCAGCTGTTTTAAACCATGTAAAGAGTCTCCCTCTGTGCTATAACATTCCCAATGGTCTGATGGAATGGCTGTATGTGAGTTGTAGCGCTGAGGCTGTCTGTAATATGGAGTCCATGGGATTGTTCGGGGCGAAAGGGCCCCAGTTTCAGGTTTCACTCACTTATACACGTCTTTGTCAGCTTCCTTTGATCTGTGTGCAAATTCATCTCAGGATAAGGAAACACAAACACTCATGTTCATTTCACGAGCCCTCATTCACCACATCGCTGTCTTGACCACATTCACACACACACAGCTCACAAGGGAGAAACACACACACACAGACACACACACACACACAACAGCTGTCGACTATGGATTTAGATCCTGTGCTTTCCCACCCACACTCCCACTCACACTCACAAATTCCCCCTCATGCTCGGCTCTGCACCTGACTGGGAGTTTGGGGTCACCTTACGGATCTGCTCCGCTGTAGGAATTCCACAGACACACTCATACACACGCTTTCCCAACACACACATAGGCTGATATACATGTGTGTGCGTCAACAAAACACCCACCCACGCATAAGCATATACATTTCCGTAAGTTGCTTCCTTCTTTTCTGTGGGAATTCACCGGATTCAGAATTATTTCCCACATGTTTTACAGCTCAAAGTCAGGATCTGTATAATCAGTAATAAATGTGGATGTAATAACTTGCCAGAGAGCTTTGTCTGAAGTATTTTTTTTATCTTAAACTCCCACTGTACATTTGACATTCATATTCTATTTAATTTTGAATAATCCTTTCCATCACAATAATATCCTGCATTATATTTGTTACGGGAAATTTGTATTTCCACTTGTATATTTTCCACATGTATATATAATTGTATTTTATATTTTTTTACTTTTTAAAGTTGTAATGCTATTTTATTTCTATTTCTGAAATATTTTAGATTGTTTATTTCTTGCGTCTTAATTTCTCTTATGTACATTGCCTTGTGTTTTTTATGCTGCTGCAACGCAAACATTTCCCAAATTGGGATCAATAAAGTACCTATCTATCTATCTATCTATCTATCTTATCTATCTATCTATCTATCTTATCTGTCTATCTATCTAACTTTATCACTACCTGAATGAACGGTTTTAAGTAGATTTTCAAGTGACCCATGAATACATAAGGCAGATTTATGGATAGTGGATAAATATTAGAATATTTTATGAATGGCCTGGCCCTTCCTTGTCTCCGGGGCGGGGGATCTGATACACTGATCCGTTGGCATGCTGCTGGACAGTGCAGAGAGGAATGGCAGCCATGGCTGGCATCTGTCGGCCAAGTCAGAGGGCAGGCTAATCTTAGCTTCTTCTATATCCCCGACCCTACCTATTTAGCTTTTTGTAGCCATCGTCATCTACACCCTCACAGAGATGTTTACACTCACTATCTACTTCCATACTTGAGACTTCTGTATATGAGCTCTCAAACCTCCACTGGCATTGCACATGTTCTGCGATGTCACTTAACCTCAACATCAATAACAGCTGCATCACAGTTGGTTTTCCAAGTGCAGCACTTTCTAAATGTGCCCTTTCAGTGGACACTTTAGTATGAACAAATGTTTCTAACTATTAAAATGCAGGCAAGTGTGAACTTCTTTACAAGTTTTCTAAGTTTACAATTGGTATATTTAGGATGATAACTGATTTACTTAAGTATACTGTATACATGAATTTGGCCAAATTAGGTTAAAATAGTTCAGAATGTACTGCTGTGTACTCAACAAGAGCCCAAAGTCATCCTCTTTCAGGCATTACTTACTTCTCCTACATCTTATGTCCATGGGTTAGCATGCTTAGAGTATCTAATTAGCACTCAACATGCATCACAGCTAAGGATCATAGGAATAGAAAAAGTTTTTATAACCCAAATAATTTGACAATCAAAAATGTTTGACCTTACGATAGGTTAAGGGGATCAGGGAACATGAATGTGTGTACCAAATGTATTGATAATCCTTGCAATACTTACTCGGAAAATTTGACCCTCAACTACATAAAGTGTAGTGTACTAGAGAAAGGGTCTGCTACATGGTTCTAAGTTTAATGGACTAAATATCTTAACAGTTGCAGTTACAATGTGATTTTGCTTTTTTTTTTAGATAGTCAGAAATTCTAACAAGAAACAAACTTTTCGTATTTTGCACACTTCCTTATTACACACGTAAGTTTCTTGCTCTGTCCCTCTGTGTTGTGGATAGTGGCTCTACTAAGTATCTGCCACAGTTTTGATGTTTTTACCAGACCAAGATGTGGTTACACTAAAGTGTCATGTTACCAATTAGGCCAATGAGTGCCTTTCCTGACTCTGCTGAGCAATGACACTACAAACAGATGAACTGTTTCAGAGGCTTTTATCAGAAACTTTTACAGCCTGGCCTTTCACCTTAGGCCCTCACAGAAGTAAGGACAGCTTGTTTGAGGATGCTATGCCCTCACAGAAGAACCATAAAACACTTTGGTACGTTTGTGGGGCTCGAGAAAGTTCAAATCTACCTCTCTGGTTTTGGAGAACAAAAGGGTATTTTCACGTTGTGACACTAGCTATAGGTAAAGATGAACCGTAAATGATGATACAGAAAATACATTACCTAAATAATAGTAAAGAACATACAGCAATAGCCTCTCTTATAAGAAGATATGACAAGATAAGATGATAGGAATCGTAACATTTCAAAGTATTGTCATTTCAGGGGTCACATACTCACCTGCAATTAGATAGTGTTAGAATATTGTAAACACACACTTTATAATTCACCATGTGTTGAAAACTGTAAAATGACTTTCCAAGTTTTGCACCTGCTGCAAATGCATTGCTATTTGGACACGCATTCATGAGCCATTACAGTTTCCTTCCTGGCATGCCTTCAAACCACCAAAGCTTTAGTGCATTTTGGCACGGACATTGCAAATGCCTGTCACATGATGCAAACCATAAACATTGATTGATATTTTGTTTCTGGTATATGTTCAGTCAATGTATGTGTGAGGGTTGTTGCGATATACCGGTATTTTTTGGGATAATTGTGATATTTAATTAATTACATATTGACATCATGTTAATAAAATACATATGATAGTATTGTGTAAATATTCAAGAGCCTTTTTAATCATGCTTTTGTCAAGTGATGATTACAAACACTCCACCTCCTGACACTCATTTTGAGTTAATTTATTTGCAACAAAGAGACAAAATTCAATATTAACAACGTTTAAGATACATTTAACTGAACAGCAATACATTTTTTATTATATTTTATAGAAATAATTCAAAAGATTTGTTAACGTGAACTATTTTTGGTACAATACCGTGTAGTGAACATTTATTTTCATCACAGCCCTAAATATAGGGTGTTTAAATAACCCTACATGCGGAGAAATGTAATCGTGAAAAATAACACTTGCATTGGTATTTTCAGTAAGCGATATATTTTACAAAAATGCTATCTCCCATTTTGTTACATTTGAACAAGCCACATACAGAACGAGTCCACTGTAGCTGTTTGTAGAGCAGTCGGCATCTTTATTTATCCCTGTGCTACATTTCTGTTGTCCTGAGTGTGAGGTATGTGTGAGTTGGCAGGCATTTGAATAACTCGAGAGCGGTTGTCCAGCCGAGCAGCAATGCCTGCAGCATGCCTCTCAGTCCCTTCGGCCACAGGGTGAGAGGTCGCACAGGTGTCCCTCTGGTCACTTCTGTTACTGGTCATCTCCCCAGCACTGGTCCTGCACTCTGACTAAGTCATGACTGCCTGGCATAGGCATGGACACCCTATTTATGGGGCCACTACAAGTGTTAGTCCCCTTTGGAGCAGATGCCAGAGTTTAAGGAATGCTGAACAAGGTTAAAACATTGAATTGATACTAAAAGTATAGGACTCAATAAACATGCAGTTACTGAAAAAAACAGTATCTGACAATTAAATAACAGGAGAGAATCAATTTCTGTATTGAATAGAACATGGGAATCCTCTTGATTTACTATCAGATTACAATCAGATTGACGAGGAAAGCCATTGCTGCTATTTACTTGGCTATTTATTGGAGTAAAGCTGCCAACATTGTGAATGGTTTAGATGGTTAGATAATTTAATGTTAATAAATAAATAAACTTGAAGGAACATGTTAATACTGCCCTTTTAAACAACTAGTGGGTTTACTAACTAATTAATCTGGGAGAGAAAATGGCACAAGCAACAATCACAAGCGTAACATAGCTGCCAGCTTATTCTGGTACATGACCTCTAAAAAACACAACTGTCACCAGTTGGTCTTCCATCTCTTAGTCCGTCAAAACATTATGAGGGAAAAAAGGTCTCCACTGTTCAGACAACCAGTTTTAACAATCTGGAAGTTGTCTCTAGCCTTTGACCCCCCTGAAACCCTAGTCAGTGTCAAACAGCCTGCAGGTATCCACACCCAGCAGGTTCTGTGATTCAGACTCTCAATCCTCTGACTGATTGTTTCCGATGAGTGAAACCTCAGCGCCAGCTGGACGCTGCAACAGACCCTTGATTTGTACCCGATTTCATGGTTCAGAAACGGCCCACTCCTCATTCCGCAAGGGGATTACAGAGCGGGACAAATGGCATTACGTACGCATCTGGGAACAGCTGTGGCTGCTGCTCACTCCTCAACACAACCGACACCAGCAGGCCCGGACACTGCCAGTTCAAAACACCAGCTCACTGGTAATTAAAAGAGAGCAACTGAAAGATATCAGGTTACACTGATCAAAGCCGAATGGAAGTGACAGCTGTTGAATTTATCTAAAAATCTAATGTTCAACTTATGAAGCATGTTCCCAATGTTGTGTATTTGTCCAAAATGGCCACCTGCAACTACGAAAGTGATACAACTGTATGATTCTGTCTAAAGGAAACTATTAATGATGAAAGTAATACGAACAACGATTTTAGCCACTTCATTCTTGTAGGGTGGTTTATGAGAAGATTCTTAGTAGAGGCTTCCCTGCGATTTCAACAGCTCTGGTGGACTAAGTATATTTAGTAATATTTTGTTAAAGCCATCACTGGAATGGTTTAGATGTTTTTAGCTTGATTATTTTTCGGCAGTGGCATTGGGCAACAGTTGTAGTCCATTAGCGCCGCTATTGCATGTGAAGGAGTTAGCTATAAACATTTCAGAACCATCTTTTAAATCTGGACTATTTTAACACCCCAAAGAAAGATTTTATGTTCATGTAAAAAAAATGCAACACAATAAACAAACAGTATGAGCCACTTTGTTATTTGGTATCATGGTCTGGAAAAACCACCGGCAGTTGAAGGTGCAATTAAACCCCATATGTGCCTCACCACACAGAGCTTAAGCAGCTCTCCAATATCTGCATCTGAAGGACCCTGCACCCTAAAGGTCATGCTTCAGGGTTTACAGGTCTTTCATGTCAGTGAAGGGATACCTATTTTTGTTTATATGAAAGCTCATAAATAAAACTAACACTAAAGTCCTGAGGATTTGACCAAAATATATTTTGTGTAATGTCATTGCGAGCTGAGGCCTCACTGCGACCAACTGGCTTCCCCACATGGTTTACCCCATGTTCCAAAGTAACAACAAATAGTTTCAGCCATTTTCTTCACAATCATTGGTAATGGAATATTTATAAGAACCACAAAAGCAACATGAATTCAGCACAAAGACTTTCAAACACAGAGAAACTGAAGGTGTGCTGTAACTTCGGAAAGTGAGTGACAATCAATTTGGGAGAAACTTGTACTAATCAATCTAGTCTGCTACATAGCTCCTGTAACACTCCCAATAAATTATAGAGCTAATATATATATAGCAAGATTTTTCTCAAGAATCACTGAAGGCCATCTCACTCACCCTCCCAACATGGGCGCCATTACTTCTCCAAACAGAGAGAAAGACTGATGGCACTTGGAAGTGCTGTTGGTAATATTTCAGTTTACATTGTCATCCATTGAGATCTCATAATGGCGTCTGCTGACAGGGGCTACTAATGATGCCCTGAGCCCTGTGTACACATCTGGAGTCTTGTCCTCCTCATAACACTTCATCATCCTCTTTCCAACCAGGATGAAATGTTTAGATCAGCCCCAACCCCCTGATTGCAGACACAGTTTAGTGGCTCTATTGATGAAAACCAGTTTATGTTTGGTTGGAGAGATCACTCAGGTGAAAACGTAAACTGTGTATTTTTAAGAGCGGGGCAGCTAAAGGTTATTCTCTCACCAATATAACACTCTGAGGGGCAGGAAGTCTTGGGCTAAAAGTTGAGGTGGATCCATACAGCATGGAGATGAGAGTGGGGGGGGGGGTTTAATGCTCAAATAACAGGAGCACCTGTACAGCAGCGTATACGACACTTGTTATTATGGCCATTTCTACAGCAAGATGCTCAATCGCTCATGCACCTGTTCTCCAAGTTATTTTATTAAAAGTTAAACGAAATCATCAGCTAAAGATGATATTATTCACTCAACACAGAAAACAAACAACAACAAAGTGTCAATCAACATTTCTTTTAAAGTGTTGTCTTACCTGACAAAGCAGAGCACCCAGCACACACACCATCAACATCCGTTGCGCCATCCTCAGTACCTGCACTCAGAAACTCAGTGTGAACAGACCCCTGATGAATGGAAGATCTGAGTGGCTTTTACTGAGTTAAAAGGCCAATCTCTCCAACCCTGAAACCTTCCCCTCTCTTTCCTTCTCTCTAACCTCCTGCTCTTGCCGTCTCTCTGTCTGTCTCCCTCTTTCCTCTCCTAGCGTTTTCCCCTCACAGCTCCTCCCTGTCCATAGCAGGGGTATGTCTCACAGTCGTGGGGTAAGGGGTTAGAATTTCAGCAGCGGTCCTCCCATGTACCCCAGCACATGTGCTGTCACTCACAGCCCGATGAGAGAGAGCGAGAGACAGAGGGAGAGAGGGAGGGAGATGAAGAGAGAAGCAGGGCAGCTGTTGTTGGTGTGGACAGAAACACTGTCTTCACCAGTTGAAGTTTGAACACTTTTCAAATAATTATGTTTGACATACTGTAGGAGTGAAAAGAAAAAAGAAAGAAAGCAAGACAATATGTGATCATTAGCCGAAAAAGATTTTCATTTTACAGTGATGACAAATACAAATAAATCAGTAACAGAAACAAACAGAGCTGAAATGTTTGGAGAAAAAAAGTTCTTAATTATTAAACAATTAATCTATAAACTAAACAGTTGGCAATTGTTTAGTTTGTCAATCAACTGATCACTCAATCACTCCAGTGGTCGTTGAAAATAGCTTTTTTGTCTTTTCAGATTTGGAAGGATCTCCATGACCCGATGCTAATAAGTGATATAACTTCCTTTATTAATAAAATGGAAAAACAGCCAATAATGTAAATCCTAGCACTAAGCAGAGGTGGAACAAGTACTCAAATCAAGTACCAGAGAGTAGGAATACTTTGTATAAAAGTCCTGCACTCAAAATGTTACTTGAGTAAAAATACAAAAGTATTAGCATCAAAATATACTTAAAGTAATTATTGATGCATTAATGTGTTTCTCAAAGCTGGTAAAGGTGCAGCTAGTTTTAATCACTTTGTATACTGCTGGGTAGCTTGTGAATTGACTCCAGGTGTAACTAAAGTCTGATTTAAGAGTTGATTATATTTCACACCATTAACCCAAATCTGCAAAGTAACTACAGTCGTTTCATAAATGTGAGTAAAAGTACAATGTATATCTCTGAATTGTAGTGGGGTAGAAGTACAAAGTAGCATAACATTGAAATACTCAAAGTAAAGTACAAGTACCTCAAAATTGTACTTAAGTACAGTACTTGAGTAAATGTACTTAGTAACTTCCCACCTCTGACCAAAGTCTCTCAAAACTTAGTTGAAAAGTTCCTTTGTGACACAACATCATTCAGTTCGTTTGTTTTTTGAAATCCATGCTGCCACACAGAGTAAAATAGAAACAAAAACCTTTGTTCTACACCAACAGACAGCACAGCATACTCTTGTGTTTAAAGACTCAGGTAGCTTAGCACTTGTTTTCTTCTTAAATCCATCTTGTCCGTATCAACCTTCATGTCGTAAGACCACATGCGTAACCTTGCTGTCTTCTGCGGCCTGTGTTTTGCCCTCACACATTCACAACATTCAGGCAGAACTCTTTGATCTCCTGCTATTTTGATCACTCTTGTCAAAGCAGAAGATGAAGATGCATGGTGCTCAATGGGTGATTGTCATGTCAGAGATTCTTAGTATTTAACAGAAACACTACCATGAGTAATGGAGTACATATGTGTTAGGCTACCACCTCTGCTGCAGTGAGAGGAAGGTTGTTGTTCAGAAACAGAGTGAGAACCTGAGTTTACGTTGTAGGGGTTTATGTTCTCAGGGGAAACACAAGCAGCAGGAAAGATGTGTTTAGCATTATGAGACCATTAGATCTCCTTAGCGCTACTTTCAGCAGCCCATCAGCAAGTCTGCTCAGAGGTCAAAGGTCAATACGGTTCTTTGGAAAGTAAACAACTTTGGACCACACTGGCCTACCGCAGAGACTCCACTCATGGGACAGCAGCTTTTCATGTTAAAACCACAAGTGAAGACATCTATTAGTTATCACAGTATTAAGCAAAGGATTCACTAGTGAAACTCTGTGAGTCATGGATGTACAGTTACACAGGAGACAGATACTGTGTGTTGATACTGCAATCTAGAAACTTGCATGTTAGAAAGTAGAGCAGTGAAATAGTTGAGTGTGTTGGCAGGCAGAATGTGCATGCTATGTGGGTGTCGGCATGCTTCTATGTGTCTCTGTGTCCATAAGTGTATGTGTGTTTGAGAGAGCTGGTATAAAGCAGTGATTCTACAGCACCTGTCTCTGTCACTTTAAGGCAGAGGCAGTTGGCAGGAGGCGCCCTGATGTTTCTCTTCCTTCACCCCCGACACACACTTTCCTAACAACAGGCGCTCATACCGGAGCGCATGCAGACATTTCATGCAGTGCTGGAAGGACTCAGCCTGCCCATTACAATGTTTATCTGTAACAGGGGTCTGTGTGTGTTTCATAAATAAAACCAAGCCCAAAGGTGATGCTGAAGTTTAAAAGATGAACCAATTACCACAAAAACATCTCAGGATTCAGAGACAGAGCTCTGCTGCCCTCTGGTGGGATAAATAACAACTCTCATTGACTCAGAAAGATCAGCTGTATGATAACAAAGTGACAAGTAACGTATTAAAATCACTTGACTTAATGTGCAAGTTAATTGTATAAGGATGAAGATGATGTGCAAAAGCAGTATTTGTGCGCTGGACCACATTGTCAATCACTGAGGAATATCAGATCAAGACACAATATAAGATCCCTAGTTTCAAAGGCTTTGTGGTGCAGGGTCCCACTGAGGTGATATTAACAAAGAAGACTTGTGGTTCTCTTGTACCTGTTGTTAGGTTGCTATAAAATATTCCTCTGAACACACAGGGAGCCCCACTGTTCAGGAAACAAGCAACCCGACCTGGGAGCTGTCTGGCACACCGGGGAGACAGTGACACTACTAATGATGAATATTGGCGGGGGGCAAAGCAAACCTGCGCTTAATTTTCACACCAGTGGCCCCATGACGGGTGAACCATCTGGAAATCTACTGTTTAAGATATGTATAGTATAATAAATAGTTATAGCAATTCAACCATATATTGTACTGAATATTTGGGACTTTTTTGTCTTCATGGATAGTACAGCTAAAGAAAAAAGGAGGAATACTAGGCATAAAGAGACCCATGTAATATTGGAAACCCGGGCAAAAGACTAAGCCTTGTCCGTGTGACTCCTGCTCTACCAGGGGAACTAGCACAGCTAATGCAAGACGTATTTAATACTTTAAATTCATATTGAGGTTATTTTAGCTTGCTTACCTCCTCGACAATAAGTCAATTCCTGTGCCAACAAAGTTTTAAAGCCTCTGAAAAAGCAGCTAATTAGGCCAAAGCTCTAGCACATTTTAAAGTGCATTGCAAAGCACTAATACAATTCATGCATGTATAATAAGCGTGAAACTGCCATCTTCAGTGTGAGTCAACGATCGGCTGCCAAAACATTTGCCAAAGTCGCAGTTTTTCAAAAAGTTGCACATTTGTGGGAAAACTACTCTTCTACAATGTGTATCATATACTGACTAACATCTATTTTCTTTCATCTCGTTTTTATTAAGTGAATGTTTACTATTCAGGTGGATGATTACAAACTAAACAAACAATGAATGAATTAAAACCAAAAACTGAAGTTGTTTATAATTATGTCAGCATAGGACATGCAAGATGGAATGATACATTTTACACTTGATGTACTGTATCTTATTTTTTCCAAGTTTGCATCACTTTTTCAATTAGACTGTTGACCTCTACTTACTTTTGCTTTATAGGCCTATTTTGCGTTTGCAGTTTCTTCTACATTTGGCTGCAAATGAGCAAGTGACTGTGCACACCTGCAGGGGGCAGTGTGATACCAGCTGAGCATTAAGCTGGAGAGGAGAGATCGGAAACTTGTAAGACTCAGGGCTCGTCTAATAAGACATCCGTCTAAAGAATATAACAAGTAATGACCCATGACACGAAAAACACTAGTCACTGACTCACAATGCAACTCTGAGACAGCGGCATAGTCTACTAATCAAAATATCGCAGACACAAAAGCCTTGCAACATGCACCACTATGCACCTACCTGGAACAATGATGATAATGATCTCTGCATCAGTTAGCTAAACAAAGGTTTTTCCATTATGTTTCTAGAAATGTATTTTTTTGCATTCAGCTGTTTTACAAATCTGTTATTTCTGCAGGAAAACAACAGAAACACAGAAGCCTTGAAGAGCACAATGTAACATTTCCAGAGGTGAGTGTGTGAGGGCGGGAGGTGGTGGGGTTACAGCAGCTCCACCGGGGTGGGTTGCCAATTAGAGCCAACACATATGACACACTTGACTCCCCCGCTTGAACCATGGCTGGAGATAATAGGCCTCTTCCTGCAGCTCAATCGATGACATACTGTCCCAGGGTGGATGTCTGCCTCAGTACACTCACACTCGCACACAAACACGCAACACACTCGTTCTTCCCTCTGTCACAGAGTAAAATGTGAGCTTTCTGTATCTCACAAAGAAATACACAAGCAACGCACACACCCACAAAATGTCTCTTTGCTCTCTTTCTCTCCCTTTTTTTACAAACCATAAACAATAACTTCCAACTAGATTAAATAGAACATTATTCACAGTGAGATAAGAGAAACACACTGGAAAAAAAGGTATATGTAAATAGCTAATCCATAAGCTAAGTGTGTTTATACATCCATCTTACCCCACAGGGGGCCTCTGGGCTGTGAGGGCACCTGAGTCATGGGGATTACAGACATTACGGAAATGGATATCTGCTGTGCTCGGTAATAGGCAGGCGCCTAGCATGAACTTGCTCTCAGTTGTCAGGTCTCGACATTGTTGTTTCTGACTTGCATGTTGATGCGGTTGTTAGACCTTTGAAATCCATATGGCTGGGTCATAGCTGGCTAAGCAAAAGCATAAACATTGCATCAGTACGAATTCACCAAGCCCTGTGTGATGCAAATCCCCTCAGTGCTGAGCCTGTGATGCTCACTTTCTCTGTGTGTTTGTCTCAGTGTTTTTGTATGTAGACGAAAAGGGTAGTAAAGGGAGGAGAGTTTGGGAGTCAGAGCTGCTCTTTGCACACCCCGGGGGGGAGA